GGTACTACTTGAAGAAGAAGAATAAATTTCAGCATCTGAATTGTTTTCTTCATCTCTTCTATCTAATAATATTACAAAAATAAATTTTCCGCTTAAGATGAATTGTGATTAGCGTTATATTTAAATTAAAATTTATTTAAGTTTAATACCCCCAAAAAAATCCAAATGTTACTTCCAGAAAATCGGTTTCTTTTAAAAGAATGTTTTTGAAAAATTTCGTTAATATATAAATACGTAGGAGTTTATGTAAAGTCGAGGTTAAAAAATAATTTTTCTCCAAACTTTAATAATTTTTGATCAGAGAAATGCATATTAGCAATCGTAAAGACATACAAAAGATATCAAAGCCGATAATAAAAAAATTGTTAATTAACAATTAGAAAAAAAAATTATTACAACCGACGATATGGAAAAATACTCCAAAACCACTACCTTCTTCCCTGTCTTAAATATTGGTATAAATGGAAAAATTGTTTTTATGATTTTTCTGGAAGTCATTTTAGAAATTCTTTCGTAAATATTTCCACAGGAATATATAAATAACTTGAATAAAAATAATATTGATTCCTCCATTACCTGTTATTTCAAATTATTTAAAAATAAAATTATTTTAATCTTCATGATAAGCAATTTAACAATATTATTCATTGTCAAATTTTAATAATTGTTTTTTCAATTTTTATAAGAGAGTGATTGTATAAACAAAACAAGAAACATAGTAATTGGAATTGTAAATAAATAAATAAATAAATAAATAAATTGCAAAAATATTAAAATTAATTAATTTTTGCCTTTTTGAAAGATGTATTGGACAAGTGTAATTTTTTTATTTTTTTATTATTAAATGAAAAAAGTATGTCAGGTAAAACCAGGGATAATAATTTAAGGGTAATTCATTCACAGTTTAAAGTTTTTATCTTGAATTTACCAATTAAATAAATACTAATTACTACATTACAGAAACAAGTAACTTTAAAAAATATGCTTTGAATTTTCATTATCAATAGAAATTTAATTACTGCATTTTTAAAAAATCAAATGTGTCGGAGTAATAATGAAACATTATAAATAATGAAAATATTTTACGTATTTTATACCTTCGTCAACTGATACGCTTTCATCACTATGAACATTGATATCGAAATCGTCCCTCACAGAGACATCACTATCTTCAATTCCATCGGTCTACTTATAAAAAATCAGAATTAAATATTTTGAAACAGGAAAACTCAAATTTGTTTTCTAACTTTGGCACACACTTACTGAATTAGAAACATCTGATAAATCTGAGTCTTCTGTCAAAATGTTGGCAATGCGCTTTTGTGTTTTTTTGCTCAAAAATTCAAAATCTCGAGCACGAGGCATTTTCAATTATATAATTGAAAATAATAATAATATAAAACGGTAATTGAATTCTTTAAAACGATTTAAATAATTCAAAGTGAAGAATTCAAAATGATTCCACAAATGTCAGATTTCATTGAACATAAAGTTAGTGAAATTAGCTACAAAAAAAAGAAACTTAAAAATGATAACAATATGTCTATTGTCAATTGCCATTGGCAACGAAGTTTGTTGCATAGATTTGTGACAGATTTGTCTGTAAACATCGAATTGTCTGCAAATTTTTCTGCATCTTTTTGAAATGCCCAAAAAAATGTACATGCTTGTTCAGTGGGTGAAAAAGCCACACGAAGTAACAGTGATGGAAAAAAATGAAAATGCATCAAGAAAAAATGAGGGAGACATAATTGACATTGAATATCCAAATAAAGGAATTTTCCATGCAACTCTTCTTCAACGAAGTGGTAAAAATTATTATATATTATTATTATTATTTAATCTTATTTTATTGATATTTATTTTGATATACTTATGAAAGGATTTAGAAAAAAAATTTCTGAAATGACTTCCAAAATTTTTCCACTAACTTTTTACATGAGTATTTATTGTTATTTATTATATGTTTATTAATTTCCAGTAAATATAATTTTTTTATCTTAATTTTATTGTTAATTTTAGAAAGAAATGTTTTTTTTATAATATTGTTTTTTAAAAGCCAAAATAATTATTCATTATTTTTCTAAACAATAATTGTATCCTTACTGTCGTATATTTTTCAGAGTCCAAAATTTTTTTAGAAAAGGTGAGTAAAACTGTGAAAAAAGATGGAACCAGGATGGCACAGATAAAAAATAATAATCGTGTGAAAAAATTAAAAACTCAATTAGCAAAGGAGAATGATCATTTGAAATTGAAAACGAAAATGCGAACACAAACTAAAACAAATTTAGAAAACAAAATTACTGAATTGAATCCGATCTATGGTAAAGTAAATTGTATACTAAAAATTTTTAATCATTTACATTTATAAAAATAATTTTATTTTTTAAAAAATTTGACAGATTTTTTTATATTTTATAAATACCATAAAATTATTTCACAAAAAATTTACAATTAAATAAATAATTATTAAAGTAAAAAAATAAGTAAAAAGAGATTATTAATAAGCTGTACAACTAATTAATGAATTAATTTTATTCAATTAATTTAATTAATTTAATTCAGTAATTTGATGGACAAAAAATACCGATTTATTTTTATTTTCCTACGGTATTTTAATTTTTATTATATTGTAGATAATAACGATGAGAAAACTATTGATCCTACTACAATGGATATTGATTCATTTGATTGCATTGATAATCAGGAAGATACACGAAAAAAGAAAGAACAAACTAAAGCCGAAACAGTAACAAAAAAAAATTTAATTAAAATGGAGACTGACCAAACTGACCAAAAATCAAAAGTCCTATCGGAAAGTGACAAAGCTCATTCAGCTATAAGAAAAAAAATGAGAGCTCAAACAAAAAAAATAATAGCAAAACAAATTTCAAATATTTCGTTGACAGAAAATGCAGTTGCAGGAATGCTGGAAAACATTGATGAAACAATGAGCAACGAAAGTAAGAAAAAATTTTAAATCAGATTGTCTTTCAAGTTTTAAACGCTCAAAGCAACGAAATATTTTCCCATTTAGTTATTTTTTAAAAATAATTGTTCTTAAAAAAAATAAATAATAAATTTAATGCTTATGAAGTAAATAATTTATTTTTTTTTAATCCTAAAAAATATTCCCAAAAATATTCTAAATATATTTCTAAATAGAACGGGATAAATTTGATTAATTGTATAATATTGAAAATCAAAATTTTATTTTACTGAAGAGAATTGATAGAAAATTTGAATACAGATACAATTTGTATTTTTTTAAATTAATTTTTAAATATATCATTTTAATATTCCAGTAAATAATCATAAAATGATCAAATAAAATTTTTTAAAAAATAATTAATTTTCGATTTTGAATAATTTTTCTTATTCCTGATATGATCAAAATTTAGAAGAAAAAAAATTTTGTTCAAGTTATTAACAATAGAAAATTTTAATAGTCTAAAATTAGAATAATATTTTTTCTCGTGACCCGATTCATTAACTTAAAAATATGAGGTAGGTTTTTTTTTTTGTCTTGAAATTTATTCTGCAAACATAATTTTTGTTAAAAAAATTTTTTATTTTAATACATTTTTAGATACTCATTTATATAATGTCAACCTAAAACTGTGTTTTTATTTTTAAATATATTTAATAAAAATTTGTTATTAATTGATGGGCGATAAGAACAACTTTTTAAAATAATATTTTATAAATAAGTAATTTGAATAAATATTAAAAATTAAAATTTCTTTACGCAAAAATTATTTGTATAATAATTTTATAATTAAAAAACCTCTAAAAATTGTTTCATATTGCATTTGCCTTTCTGAGCATAAAGGCGTTGCAAAAAAATGACACTTTATTGAAATTAAATTAATTAACAATAATTATTTATTTATTAATTTTTCAAATGAACAACCGAATCTCAGAAATCAATATTTTTTAATTTAGGACTATTAAAAAATTAAATTGTTAGTAACTTTGACGAGAATTTTTTTTGCTTGAAAATTTCAGAAAGTTATTTTACTCACATTAAGAGTAAGGAAAGTGTATCTTTGATAATTAAGTCTTTAATTTTAAGTGATTTGTTTTGGACATTCCGACCCAATTTATAATATTTACATATATCACTATATAGATGAAACATTTGACCAAAGTAATGATCCTGAAAATGGAACTACAAGTGACCAAACATTTAATAAGGATAATAATCAAAAAGACGTTGAATGTATCAAATCTAAGTCAGCGAAAGAATATAACAATGACAAAAATCTAGAAAGCCATTCGGAAAGTGACAAAGTTGAAAAAGAATCGAGAAAGAAGGGAGTAAAAATTAATAAAACCACAAAGAAACAAATCTCAGAATTGGATTCAACTTCCAAACCGACTTCAACAATCAATTCGCCTTATGCTGTTAAAAAATTGTCTTCAACCATTAACTCGCCTTCAACAATCAAGAAGCCCTCACCTCCCAAATTGCCTGCAACAATCAAGAAGCCTTCACCTCCCAAATTGCCTGCAACAATCAACTTGCCTTCAACAATCAAGAAGCCTTCACCTCCCAAATTGCCTACAACAATTAACTCGCCTTCAATAATAAAACCTTTAATTTCCGAAAAGATATTAACAAATAAAGTGTCTTTAAAAACCAACCGGCCTGCAACTTCAAAACAGACTTCAACTTCCAAAGTGCTTCCAAATACAAAACTTCCTTTACCAACAAACTTGCCTTCAACTTCCAAACAGATTACAACTTCCGAACAACCTTCAGATTCCGAATTGAATTTAACTTTTGAGTTACCTTCAAATTCAGAATTATCTTTAACTTCTGGTAACTTGAATTTCACTGACTGACAATTAAACAATTAATATAATTACTTTAATTATTTATTTTTAATTTAATTAAAAGATAACTAAATTTATTGTAAACAATTGTGCATTAAAAAGTTAACTATATTATTAGATAACAAGATCGAAGATTATGTCGACAACTCCAACCAAATTGCGGAATCTATTATTAAAAATAACTTGGATACTTTATTCACAAACAGTAAGAAAAAAAGAATTAATTTACAAAAAAAGTAGTTTTTACTGAACATTCATTCTATTGAAGTATTTAAAAGTCACTTACTTGCTTTTTTATTACCAATTAACTAAAAATATTTTACAGAATTTTTAAAACAATTAATTAACACAAAATTTGTTTATAAATTTTTAGCGACTCCGGAAATAGTCAATTTTTGTGAGATCTTGTTAGCTTGTGCTAAAAAAGCCTTAAATCAAAATGACAGAGTACAGACATCTGTAAGTTATATAATTTAAATTAAAATTATTTTTAATAAACATGATTTCATTATATAATAATAATAATTTATTCCGTTATAACAGATAATAGGCAATGACTTTAAAGGATCTAATATGACGCAGTTGTTTGAAGGATCGAATACTCTGATTGATAAAAATAAACTATTTTTATTAAAGCGATTCAAAAAGAATCCAAGGGAATTAACTCGTCAACTTATGCTTGAATTAGTAGGATCAGAAAAACTCAAAACTATGACGGCACTCGGGAAAAAAGGGAACGGAATTCCCGAAAATATAAGGATTGATGTTTTCAGTTAGTATACGTATATTTTTTATATCTCATCTTATTTTATTTGTTAATTTATAATTATTGTATTAATTTATTTATATTTTTTATTTATTTCCAATTATGAATTGTATTTACTTAATAGAAAATTATTTTTAAAAAAATTTAAAAAAATTCATAAATATAATATTTTGTAATTAATAGAGGTGTGCAAAAAATTAAGAAGTGGATCGGGTCGACTTTTTTCGTCTCACTGAGCTCAGGCTTTCTTGATGTATCATGTACTTAGAAATTTCGTGTATCTAAAATTTTTCGAGTACTTGAAAGTATTCAGGTATTCGAAGATTTCAACTGCCTGAATGAGTTTAAGTTCTCAAAAATTTCGAGTGCATGAATTTATTCGGGTGCTTGAACGTTTTGAAAAAAATATTAAAAGATTTCAGGTTTGTAAAAAAACTCAACTCAACAAAGAAAATTTATTTGTTACAATTTACATATCTGTATTTAAAAAAAATGATCTTCGTTTCAAAAAAATTTTTTTTTAATTCAAAGAAATATTTCTTTGACTCTACAACAATGCAAAAATTTCTTTAATTTAGTGCACAAGTTTCTTTCATTAAAAAAATGTCATTTTGAATGAAAGAAAAGAAGTGAAAGAAATTTTATTCTTAGTGAATAATAATAGTAAAATAATACATATACAATAATAAATTAATAGCAATAAAATAAATCCACACCTCTGTTAATTAATAAATAAATAGCAAAATTTAAATATTATTTCGAAAATAAAACGTAATTTATCATATTTCTGACATAATGTGTGATTTATAGAATACGTACAAGCAAGAAATAAAGATTTCACTGAATTCGAATTTATAACTGTCTTGAATTACCAATGTGGAACTTTGAGAAACCCTAAAACTTCGAAAAATGAAAAAGATAATTCAGGAACAAAGAAAAAATAAAAGGAATTAATAGCGTCGCAGAAAAAGTTAGGGAGCACGAAAAAAGTAATACGGGTGAAAAAGACATTGAGAATGAAATGGAGGGACAATGTAAAAAGGACAGTGAGGATTCAGTGGTTATTAATAATGAAGAGGTCAGTAAGCATTCTGAGGATAGTGATGGTGACGGTGAAGAGGACACTGAACGAACGAAGGATGCTGATGAAGAAAACGATGGTGATCAAGAAGAGGAACAGAATAGCGAACAAGAAGAGGAAAGTGAGTCCGACGAGATTACTGAAAATGAAGAGGACGGAGAACAGGACAGTGAAAAAGAAGAGGATGATGACTATGCAGGGAATAGTGAATTTGAAAAAGATAGCGATCATGAAGAACCGCATCAGAAAAAAAGAAAATTCTTTTAAAAAATTTATGAGACCAGTTTAATATTAACGAAACATATATTGTTTTAAAACTTATATTACAATTCCTATTTGATTTTTTTCATTTTGGCTTCATTTTGGCATCGCTTTGTTACATTCTAACAAAATAAATAATTTAACATTCTATTTATTAAGTTTTAACACTTTTTCCAATTCTTAAATTATCAATTTATTTAACCTTTACCAGTCACACTTCATTTTAGTAACGTTAAAGTCACATGGGGTGACTAATCACCCCAACGACAAAAGTTTTTTACAACAAACGAGTAAAACGCTTCTATTTATGGCAAAAAAATTCCTGTGTAATTTAGAAATCTTCTTTTTTAAGATACTATGGTTTAAAAAGATGAATTTACAAATGCAGCTCATTTAGAAAATAATATTTGCAAGAAGTTAAGAAAAATGCATTTTTTTAATTAAAAACGTGTCAACTTTTAATTTTTTCAATTTCAAAACCTATTAAGGTAGGGTACTAGTCAACAGATATATTAAAACAATAAAAATATAACACTGTTGGTCTAACATTTAAAAAATACGGTAATTTTGTAAAATTACTGTTTTGTTAGTCGAAAGTCAGCGATTTCCGTCTGGGGTGACTAGTCACCCCATGTGACTGGTAAGGGTTAACAAAACATCAAATACAAAATAATAATTAAAATGTCACAATTTACATTCAGAGAACTTTATTTTATGATATGTTTTCCTAATTCAATGGAAATATTTATTTGTTTCAGATCTTAATAACTATAAAATTAATTTAATTAAAAACTTTCAGTTGGTGTTTTATATTGTGAAAATACTTGAACTTGAAATTTTATAAAAACATAAAAAATTCACCTTTTTAATTTTTTAAAATAGTATTAAGCTAAAAAAATAGTTAAGTTCCAAAAAATCTTATCCTACAATTAAAACAGGTGATTTTTAAAAACCCCATACTTGAGCCATAGAATGGCACAACCACGGGCGAAAGTATAGCAAAACTTGAACTTACAAACTGGACAAAGTCCAACTATGGCACAACCACAGGCGAAAGTATTGCAAAGGTTTAACTTACAAACTGGCCAAAGTTTAACTATGGGATTTGGACAAAACCCATTCTTGGCCCATAATGGCTTAACCATGGGTGAAAATTTGATAAATCTGTACCCATGTTCATTCCATAGTTACCATTTCCACGCGGGATATTAATTAATTAATTAATTAATGTTTATAACAAATGAAATATTTTACAAACGAATAAAGTTACCGTAATTCTGAAGTTAGCAATTAAAACTTAACGTAATTCCGCATCCAACGAGCCCTATATGAAGTATTTTGGATAAGTACACGGAGAGAAAAATCTGCCTTTTATAGTATAGAAAGGTTTACATTTAATGCACAGAAATTTTCTATGCTATATAGACATGAAATTTGAGTAATTATAGTACAATCGTATGTCTTTTTAGCATGAAACTTGTCTATGCTAATAAAGTTTGTCATATAGCCTCTTATTACATACTTATTATACTTTTAATCCAACGGCGCCATGCGAAGATCGCACATAACATCATCCTACTATGTTTGCATAAGTTCTATGCTTTTCCGGGGATAGACTCTTGCAACTGGCGATTAGGGCAGTTCCAATTCAGTAAAGGTGGGCGTGGCCTAATCGCCAGTTGCAAGAGTCTATCCCCGAAAAAGCATAGAACTTATGCAAACATAGTAGGATGATGTTATGTGCGATCTTCGCATGGCGTTGTTGCTATTAAACTACATGTTTTGTACTATAGAAGCATATATACTATGCTTTTTTAGTACGGACAAATACTATCCTAAAAATTCTCAAATCTTTGCTCTATTAGTATGAAAAGTTTAAAGAAAAATAGCAGCAATCTATTTCATACTATAAAAGGCAGATTTTTCTCTCCGTGTAGATTGTTAATAAACAATTGCAATGTTAACTAATTGTTTATTAACAATCTACTTATCCAAAATACTTCATATAGGGCTCGTTGGATGCGGAATTACGTTAAGTTTTAATTGCTAACTTCAAAATTACGGTAACTTTATTTGTTTGTAAAATATTTCATTTGTTATAAACATTAATTAATTAATTAATTAATATCTCAAAAAATTTAAAATATCCCACTCTGAAAATTACATGTTTTGTAGGAAATTAGTCAATCTTTCCATTGAGATAGTTAAAAATAATTTTAAAAAATCTGATTTTGAGATAAACGTAAATTAACATTTTGACCTTGAATTTCAAGGTCAAATGTTATTTAAAAAAAAAATTTTATTAACAGCGTGTAGCCCGTCAAAAAAGCTTTAAAAATCATTATATATATGTTAACTTTTATGCATTCTACTTATAAATATTGTACATTGAAAAAAAAATTTTTTTTCAAAAGTCAAAAATTAAAAACGTTTTAATTCAAAAACTATTTTATTAAATTCAATAATAATTGATTTTTAGACTTTCACCAACAATAACAACATTTTAGAAAAGTATGGATTAAATTCGAGAACTTTTAATTTTTTGTTCGGACATTTCAGGAATTTTGCCTCATATGTAAAATAAAATTAATATTTACAAAAAAACATATTCTTAGAAAGACCAAGATACAAAAAAATGCTTAAAACTTCAGAAGCACTTTACATAAAACAATTAAGAATAAAAAATTAAGGGAAACTGACAAATACTTAAATTTGCTACTGGTCTTTAAAATAGAAAAACTATAATAAATTAGTCAATTTTTATAGAAAACTATTCAAATATGTAGGGCTCCAACGACACAGAAATTAGTAGGCTTAAATATTACATGAAGAAAAAAATGTTTAAAATATAATTAATGCCGTAAAAATCAGTTAAAGTTGAAAAATTGAGGAAAAACTGACAATTTCTAAACTTTCTTGTAACTTTTCGCTTGTAAATATTATTTTTAACAAAAAAACTCTATGTGGGTTGAAAAGCCCTGCTTTTTAGCTTCGAAATAAAAAAAAATTTAATCTGTAAAAAAAAAAAGAAAAGTTTTAGTCATAAATATACGTGAAAACGGTTTTTCGTCTCTAAAATTAAAATTTGGGTGTGTTAGGGAAATTTTTAATATACAATTCTTCTTAGTTTTTTGTTACCCACAACCTCTAGTAGGTCCGATAAAAAGTGTTTTGCAAATTTTTTTGTAACACAGTGTAATTCATTTGCTTCTAAGATACCTTTCTTCGCGACGCGGCACATTTATTAATAAATTTTCTAGTAATTACACAGGCCTGCGAGGGTAAGTACTTTAAATACCTCTAGGTAATTCTTGTAGATTTTTTTGTGCTGAAAACGAATCTGACCTCCAAAATGGCCCATCACGTTAGGATTTTTAGTAAATGAAGCCTAAATTTTCAAAAAAAGGGCTATTTTAGCCGGTTTTGATATTTTTTTTTCAATTTTCGACAAAAGGATCTTATAGTACTACTTTTCAGCTTTAAAAGACATTTTATTAAATTATTTTACTATTTGTTTTAAAAAAGTTATGACATTTTGAAATTAACACTTTTAGTAATGTTAACATACAATTTGTAGTAACTGAATCCGAATTTGAGGTCAGATTTTAAAAATCAAAATGGTGGACCCAATATAGCAGAACATTTAAAAATAGATTCGATTCGTTCAAAAATTGTTATTCGGGGTTTTTTAGGGTCTATGAAACCCCTAAGGAACAATTTTGAAGTAAATCTGGTGAATATTTAATTTTTTGGCCGCCATATTGTGTCCGCTATTTTGAATTTTTTAAATCTGACCTCAAATTCGGATTCAGTGACCCCAAAAACCTTCATATACTCATTGACACAAAAATTAAATTATTTTCAATAAATCTAAAAAAAATCTACAAAAATCACCTAGAGCTATTTAAATTACTGAAAAAAATTTAATTTCGCAGGCCTGTGTTATTTATTCAGTAATTATTTTAATATAAATTAGCAGTCAAAGACCCATTTATTAAATTCTCCAAGTCAATTTATTTATATTCTTTTCTAAATTAACAGAATCAATTTTTTAATACTTGCTCTAATCATTTTTTTGTCAAATTTTCCCTAGAAAAAAAATTAATTAACTAATTATTCAACTAATTAACTAATTAATTTTTTTCAAAGAAAATATGACAAAAAAATATTTATAGCCCCAAAAAATGTTACGATAAGGAAATAATTTTTTTATCAAATTTTCTTTGTAAAAAATTAGTTAACTAATTTTTCAATTAATTAGCTAATTAATTTTGTTCAGAACAGATAAGACAAAAAAATTATTTCTTTGTCCAGAAAAAAATGTTACAATGAGGAAATAATTATTTTGTCTAATTTTAATTGCAAAAAAAAATTAATTAACTAATTATTAAGTTTATTGAGTTAATTAACTTTTTTCAGTTAAAATTTGTCAAAAAAATTATTTATAGCGCAAAAATTTAGAAGGGAGCTCACACGCGAATTTATTAAATTTATTGACTTTACTATTTTTGCTTAATTTTTTCTCCGTGCATGCACTCAATAATTTTCAAATTTAAAAGTAGTCAGACCAAGCTTTTAATTTCTGCTTTATCTACACTAAAGAAAATTAATGAATTATCCATTTGCCCGAGATGTGTCACCTTTTTAATTCGATTGTTTTCTAACTCATGTATCACAAAAGCTAAAGCCGTTAGCATTAAAGTTGTTTTGTGCATTATTTTTAAATACCTTTTAATATTAAAAAAATAATTTGATGAACAGATTTGGAAGTAAAGGTACGAATAGTAAATAGAATTACTAATTGTAATAATTTAAAAATTCCTTTTTTAAACAAAATATTAAGTAAAGTTAAGTTTTCTGAATTTAAATCATAACCCTAAAATTTAAATGTTTTTTACTAATGTTAAAGAATTTAAGAAAAGATATACAATACAAGTAAAATAACAAAACTTTTGATAAATTCAAATTATAGTTACTTATATAATTATCAATTTATTGACAGATGAAATGTAAAATCAATATTTTCGAATTTCACGATCACGGAACACCACAAAATTCACCGCATTCCGATCCTTATGATTCTGCCCTTTCTTTGCCC